ATTATTAAACCTTAATAATTAGATTTGTAGTCCAAAAGTTTAGAATAATAAAATAAATATGATGAATTATATTAGAGTGTGACTCATAACATAACCAGCAATGCATGACATCTTTGGTAGATAATTTTGTTCCTTAAGTATGTGGTCAAGAGTTTGATTTTTGGTCGGTGTATATGAAAAACATTTATTAAGAGAGGTCAATCCTTTATATAAATCTCAATACCCGAGAAATTTGTCTTTAGCTTTTAGCTAAGGAATATCGTAGTTTACCGAAAAATTTACCAAAAAGGAGTATGACTCACAAAATTTGCCAAAGGCCTCAAATTTCCTAAACACAGTCCTGCACTGATGAATATCTATAACATGAGAGTTACATGCAATCCTCATTGAAACATATAGAAAATTCAGTAAAATCTAATAATTCTAGAAAGTGAGAGTTCACATACCTCTAATGTAAGATTGATCACATATCTGCCTCAATGAATAATGGTCACCGGTTCCAGTGTCATAGTTATCCTCAAAGACAAGATGCCGGAACCCAGCTTTCAAAGCTTGTTCAACTCTGCTTATAATGACATAAGAAATAATAACAGTAATAATCAACAACAGTTTCATTATAAGTGCTCAACTATCGAATCTTGCATCTCAGAGATCTTGCAAGTCACCTTTTCAATTCATTCTGATGGTCATCAAAAAATATAAGAACCCGACTAAGGTCCAAAATGCCATGTTTCTTCATCACTTTGGGCCATTCAACACTCCCAAAGTCAACAAAATCCTTCCCAGCATAATATGTGCAGTTACCATCAACATAGGCTGGTCCCTTTTTCAGATACTTTTCTGGATGCCTGGGCGAAAGAGAAATAATCGGCGTGTCTGGCATAGCCTGTCGCAAAACCCAAGTTGAATGTCCCTTGAAAGCACCACTCTCGATCATCAGATCTGGCTTCAGCCAGCGGGCAATAAACCAAAGCCCAAAGCTGTGGTCGAAACCCATCCCATACATGTTGTTTTTGATCGGGCGGGTTTCGTATATAGGAACAAACTCTTCTAACCCCTTGAGTAAATCTTTTGATGTCCATTCCACAGTTTTACCATGTTTCGATCTGCCTTTACCAAGGATAAGATTATAAGTATCCAAAGACAATTCAACTGCATGACTTATTGATTTCAAAAGTAAGAGTAAGGATGTGAAACAAGTGTTAAAATTAAAAATCAACATTTTACTCCCAATTCCAGAGTGTTTAAAATGACAAGCTCGTTCATAAAATATTAGTTTGTCCACAAACACCTCATACATTTTTGTTGCTAATAATATTAGAATGATTCCAAACCCCCTACATCACTATCCTACTAATCCTCCACCTCGCTTTGTATTTTTTTTTATTTTTATCAATAGACATGATCCACACAATATTCCAAAGTTAACAACTAATAACTAATCTTCACTCGTGGAATGTGATTTTATTTTGAGGGTGTAATTAGTAGTTTAGGAGAGATGCGAGTAAATAAAGTCATATTGATCTTATTGAGCTTGGATTGGCTAAGATTCATTCTAGATATGGGCTTGGACGTCCACTTGCTTGAGCAAGTGGTTAACATTATTTTAACACCTCACTTTGTATGACAAATATTGAATGTTTTCATATTTTCAATACATTAAAAGCATTTATTCTCTCATTTAATACTTTCGGAAAATTTATAGAAAGATTTGTAGGAAGATATGTTGGAGATGATACATCGACGATGTAGCCAAAACAATGTATGTAAGTGAAAACAACCCTCACATCATGAGTTAACTTTGAGGTTGAATTCATCCTAAACTGAAATTTTAAAATGGTATTAAAGCCTACCATAGGGGCTGATGTTGAACTTATTAAACCACCTATTATCCGGTCATTATCATATCACTTATGTCTAGTCAGGAGTGTGTTAGAGATTGCATATTTACTAGTGATATGGTTAAATAGATGTATATAAAGGAGTAAGCCTAGGTTCATGAGTTAACATTCGAGGTTGAGTCAAGCACAAATCCAAATTCTAAAGATGTAAATTACTCCATAATAATAATAATAATAATAATAATAATAAAAAGCAATCAAACAAATTATAACGTTTACTTTTAACAAAAAAACTGTCGATTCATTGATTTCTTAACCATAAACATTTAAGAACAAAGGTTAGCAAAATTGACAATTAAATTATAACTGAGCCACATTGCAAGATTTGAACAGCTGGCTGGTTTAACACACACTCTCAGATAATGCCAACCGTCCAGGAACAACCAATTAGGGAACAACAGATTCAATTTCAGGATCCGGAAAGAGTAAATTGAATGTAGCATTGCATTGCATTGTTTATACGTCGATCCAAGGAATTAGAAAGCGAGAAAAAGAGATGAGATCAGCGCAAAGAGGCTTACACCAGGGCACGCCTAGGGCTCCGAAATCGGAGTCGAGGCCGTCGAAGCCGAAGAAGCCGGCGCGGGAGACGGGGCTGTAGGAGGAGGAGATGCAGACGAAGCCGCGAGATGTGAAGAGGAAGGAGAAAGCGAGGAAGAGGAAGAGGGAGAGGGTGACGCAGGGGAGGTAGAAGGAGCCGGAGCCGGCGATTCGGGAAAGGTAATTGGAGGCTCTGGTGGTGATGCGGAAGAGGAGGTGTTGGTGCTTCTTGATCTTGGATTCGTCGGCGTCGGCGTCGGCTTCGGCATCGGCGTAGGAGTTGACGCGGCGGGAGGAGAGTGAGCGCTCCAACATTGAAGGCGCCGAGTGGTTCGGATGGCGGTGTGTCGGGGTGCTGCTCTGTGCCTGTGAGGTTGGTCTAGGAGATGACATCCTTTCTTCTTCTTATTCTTTCATTTATTCCCTCTTTCAATCATCTCATCACACACTCTACATCTATATCTATATCTATTTATGCATCTTACAACATTATTTTCAAATTATTCATATACTTTAGCAAATCCCTCGCATTTTCTTTTATACTTATTAACATGAATTATTTGGTTTCATAAAATTAAATTATTTAATTCAACGTTTACTGAATTACATTCTTCTTTAATGAGAAATATAATTATTGCTCTTTTTCTATTCATGTATTAAAATATAAAATAAATTATATCTTTTTATCTTATATAAACATTATATTATCTTCTTATATTAAATGTTTAAATATGTTTTAAATCATTACAAATATTGTTTATCTTGTTTTAGTTCTTGGAAACTTTGTTGTCATTTTTAAATTCTTAATATTATGTTTTAGTTTTTATTAATAACTCTATTTAATTTAATGTTTAAATGATTAAAATAAAGAATATTAATTAACCTCTTTTTAATTATAATAAGAAAAGCAAAAAGGATGCGGTACGTAGCATACAAGACAATATGTATACTAGCACTACGTAGTTTTTTCGCATTTTTTTTTTACTTTTTTTTTTTATTTTCCTCAAAAAATTTAGAGTTAACGATAAGAATTAAAAAATAACAGTGAGAAATTTTTCTTTTTGACACCATACACTATGAGAATATTAAGGGTCTAAAATTGATAAATTTTGTTTTGCAATGACTAAAATAAGACATTAATATTTGTAAGGATTTAAAACATATTTAAATTTACATTAATATAAATAATTTATTTAATTTAATTTAACATTATTAAAGAATATTTATTATAAGATATTAAAAATTATATATACATGTGTGTGAGAAAATTAATTATAGATTATATTTAATATAAGTTGGTAGCATATATATGTGTCCCTATTTTGAATTTGAATAGAGAAGAATGTGTAGGAATACGAATACGAATAGCTTAAAGCGTAGTAGTGCGAGTTATTCGTTATTTGATAAAGAAGGGACGAAAAGAAAAAGGCAAGAATAGAGTCTTGCAGAAACTATCCATAACAATTAATATAAGTAGCATGCATGCATATATGTTCCATTCCAATTATGCCATTGCCATGGTGTGTCTGGGAGCTCTGTTTGGATGCAAGCGTTCCAATTCCATCCTAGCCTATATTCTCTCTGCTTTCATCTCCATATCAATTCTCTGCGTCATACGTCTGCTATGTTATGGCCTTGCAAGGTTACTAAAGAGGTGGAGAGGTCATAATCCAAACGCTGCCTTAGAAATGCAATCACAGAATACAATTACAAGCCATGCTTAATAATGTATATATACATTCTTTTCTTCTACCAAGTGCTCTGCAAAATAACGCATTCAACACCACCTTCTCTACCCTTCTCTTTTAGTGGGAAAGGGGACGTGTATTTCTTATTAATTGTACGTCTAACAAAGATGATCGATCTTCTTCGCAGAATGCATTTCTAAATTTTTATTTTGTTTTTCCTCGACATGGCACGCGATGTATTTTAGAACTCAGAATCAAGACTAATCTCCGTTATGCATTTCTCCCTTCAACATCATGAATTAATGAAACTTTAGTTGTCTGTTTAGTTTAGCAAAGTTATGAAAGGTACCTCGTTTAGGAAGGCCATAATAAGTAATAATAATAACTACAAGTTTAACAACTAACACAGTTTTATATACTTTTCTGCGACACAATAATCGTATTGAGTATAACCAATTTTATTTTATTTTTAAACCATAAATCATGTTTTTTATCTTTTATATATATAAAATTGTAGTTTGAAATAATAAAAGAAAGGTGTCAATAACTCCATGTCATTTTCTATGCTAGTTTTAATTATTTGATTGCATATTAAATTTGCACTACCCAGCTAATAAGTCTCTGTTATAATAATAATTATTATATCATAAAACCTAACACATTCCCCTACTATTTGTCTCTCTCACGCCAATGCACGCTATTCAATTATTGATTGTCATAATTTTTGTTAGAATAAGGCAACACTTAGACGCAGCACAAACGAAATAAATAAATAAATATAATTTATGGAAAATGATTGTTTAATTTTAAGACTCTTCTTCGAAGATTATATTATAAATAATTTTAATACTAATTAAAATGAATTTGTGAATTGTAGATGAAAAGGTGGTGATAGATAGGATGAATGAATGTACAAAAATTGGAAAGTGAGAATGCAATGCAATCAAAGTCCCTTGTAGAGTTCAAAATACTTGGGGGCATGGGAAGGAGGGGAAGAGCAATTAGAATTTGCATTCTTATGAGTGACACGCCAAACCTTCAAGACCCCGTCAAGGCTGCCAGTGCAAATGGTGCAACTATCTTCATTATCCTCAGCATGAGGCAACCTGCCTCCTCCGGTGAAGGCTGTGACACACCTAATGGGCCCTCTGTGGCCCACGAGAACAGCCACACAGGTGTGGGTGCCATCCTGCTCTCTGGCCCAAACCCTACTGGTGGAGTCAGCGGAGCCACTGACGAGGTATTTGGCGACGCTGGCTAAGCACATGACTGCATGCGTGTGCCCCTGGATGGACCCTCCGTACTGTAACTGTCCGGCGAACCAGCCCTTGAGCCAGAAGTGTATGTAGCCATCGGTGCAGCCGCCGTAGAGGATTCCTGCGTCTGGGGTGAGCGTTAGGGCCTTGACTGGGGAGTATTTGGCGTGGAGGGTTACTGTGAGCGAGTGAGGCTGGTCGTGGCTGCAGAAGTTTCGACGCCACACTTTCACTGTCGCGTCGTCTGAGGCTGTGTATAGAACCCCGTCATCTGCCACTATCATCCCGTTGATTGCCTCCGGGTGAGCCTTGATGGTCTCTATGCACTTGAGGTCTGAGATTCGCCACACTTTCACCGTTTTGTCTACGGATGCTGTGTATAGAATGTCTTCTGCTGTGTTAATTGCCATGGACGTTATTATCCCCTTGTGCATCTGTTAATTCATCATCTCAACACAATCCACGTATTATAAATTTATAATCACACCCTCTCCATAAACACACAAATATCAAATCTTAAGTTATTATTATTTTAGTTGAGGCAGATGCACGTGGCCAATTAAAACACGTACTGACACAAACTTAACAGATACTTACTGTCTTGTCTTTGCCGGCGATGTAGCTACGGACATAGCCAAGTGTCTTGGGGATGGTGAACAACCGAACATGCTTCAACACCTTATCCCACGTTCTTCTCCACACCCTTATTTTCCCATCCCCATAGGCTGCATAAACCGTGTCATTGGACACTTCCAGAGCCACCACTCTACAAGCCTTGGTCCTGAGTTGTCCACATTCGGTGAACTCGGGGAGCTTCCACACCCTCACGAGGTTGGAGTCGGAACCGGTGTAGACCAAACCGTTGGATGACAAGGCAATGGAGAGGATCTGGCCATCGTTTCTGAGGACAGAAGAGGCGCAGTGGTAGGTTGTTTGAGGGTCAGAATCAGAGAGTTTTGTGGGAGAAGGTGATGAGAACTGACGGTGGATAGGGGAAGAAATGGGAGAGTTTTGGAGGCTTCGAGAAAGTGTGGGACAAGAGAGGCGTGGTGGGGAGAGCAGAAAGTTAGAGAAAGGTGTTTCTTTTGTGGAATGGCTTCTCAAGAAGATGTTCTGAGATGGGGTTGTGGTTGTGGATCTAAAAGCAAAGGATGCAGTGAGATCGGGTGAGTTGGGGTCGTCCATCGATAGGGTAGACCATTGGTCTTGTCTTCTTCAACACCAAAAGGAACAACAGGGGTGGTTTATGATTTGTGAATGAAGTTGGTGTGAGTGTGGGGTGAATTGGGATGGTAGTGGTAGCTGTTGGCTATAACTTGGTTTATTGGAATGGTTGAAAATGAACAGTATTTAGTGCACGTTTATGCATTAAAGAAATGAGGAGCTTTGGTACGTTTTTGCAGGCAATGGACGTATATCTTGTTAGATGCAGCATTAGTTGCTACTTTACTCCACCTCCCTGTCTATGGCGGTGCCTAAATTGTCTATTTCTTTTGATACTGTATATTAGTATATAAGAGATGTATAGGAGATATCACATCTACATATTTAAAATTAATTTTTATTTTATAAATTAATTTTTATAAAATTGAATTACATTTCAATCTATTTTTTAATATGATATTATAATTATTGATTGTTATTAAATTTATTAAATTATCGTCTTTATAAATTGATTTCACGATTTTGAAAAATTGAGTTAAGTTGATATATATTTTCTTAAGTTGATGTGAAAAACAAAATTCTTTTAAGGATATATGTGGAGAATACTTGAAAGTGATGTTGAGATGTTGATGAAAAGATTTATTCTTGAATTAAATTATTAAGTAAAATAATTCTAAGCGTGTGGTTCAGCGGTAGAGGTTGATCTATGTTTAAACAAGGTTAGGGGTTCGAATCTTACCTTGTATATGCAGCCGCGTTAAATCTTAAGACCAGCTATCTTATTGTTTGAGGAAAAATTATTATAGAATGAAATTATGTCTATATTCTCATCTCAACTGATCTCTAATTTCTCATTTTTCTGTATTCAAATTTTAGATATAAACGTGTGAATATCATTAATGAAGGATTGACTTGCATCAAAGGGAAGATTATATATGAGAAAATCAATTGCATAAAGTGGGTGTCATTTGAGGTAAATGCGAGTTTCTTGTGAATTAGGCTTTTACTAAAATTAGATGATGGTAAATGAGATGGTTCTCAACTTTTTCTCGAGTCACCTATGGCATTAATTGCAATTTCTATTATAGGAATTCCTTCAAGTTCCAATAATAAAATGCTCACCAAACGGTCTGGAATTTGGCATTATAATTTTCGCTTAAATTTGGTTTGAAAATTACTAAGGGTACATAAATGAGTAGAAACACAAATAAATGGCAGTGGTTGTGGAAGCTTATAGTACAGTCCGGAAAATTCGAAAACCGACCAGCTGAAAATTCACCTACTGCTACTGACATGAAATTCACTACTACACAGGTATCCACGTTGACCTGAAACTTTAACCTGTTAATTGGGAGTGTGCAATGATCACGAAGCTGTTAACTTTTCATTTTCTCTTGGACAATTCATTTATGGCAAGTTTTAAAAAAATTATTGTTTAGTTGAGATTAGCAAGGTAAAAAAAAACACTAAATATAGATATCTGCAGAAAAAAAAAATTATCTATAGATAAAATAAATATCCGTGAATAATGAATATGAATATTTTTTTAAATTCGCATGTTAATGAATGGATATATTTGTTATAGTATCGTATTCCCACTTACAAGTATTTGTTAATATTCAATTAAATAATTAGATATTAAATTTTTAAAATTTATGAGAATAAAATAATTTGACAATTAAGTTTAATTTTTATATTAAAATTTTTTTATTAATAAAATTACATATAATATTTAAATATTTATGTTTTGACTTTGAAATTAATATTTTAAATAAATTATTAGAATAAATAAAAATATTATTAAAATGTTTTTGAAATTTTTTAAATAAATATTTTCGAGTATTTATATGTATTAAAAAATATATGAATACTCACTTAACAAATATCTGCATATAAATATAAAGACAGATACGAGATGAGTATTTATTTGATGAGATAGATAGTAGAAGCTTACTACCTGTATCTGTCTCGCTTGGTTGACACCCCAAGTGAGATTCATATATAAATGAGTCGCGCTTAACAGATTCTGAATATGTTCCGAAATGATAAAATATTAATATTTTATAATAAATTTATTATAAAATAATTATTTAATTTAATATTTTATAATTTAAAGTAATATTTTATTTATTCGGAATAATTTTCGGAACAACGATCTATCTTTTCTGACAAATGTGAAATTATAGAACCATTTGATGGTATCCAATATCCATTCAACTCACTGACTGCACTGAAAACAGTACAAGTGAACTCTGTCAATAGCAGCCACCGTAATATATTTATATATATATATATATATATATATATATATTCATGCAGTTAAATTCATAAATATAATTAATTTGTAATGTAACTAATTAATAAAATGCATGCACTTGTAATTTGTAAACCTGGCCAGTGGTTCTCTGCTACCCTCGTCTCATAAAAGCAACTTCTTCACATTTTATTCATTTTTCGTATGACTCTATACCGAATATATTTGTGAAGAAAAAACTTGTTTCAGGAGCCGTGCTTATTACCCAAATCTTGTTTATCTGTAACTCTGGTTTTCAACAAGAGGAAGAGGAACAGAACCAAATTATAAAAAGAAAGAGAAACGTTTATCTATACTCGAGTTTCAAGTTGTTCCGGTAGTCAAGAGCAACAAAACAAGCCTTGCCACACGAAGAAGTGGAAGATAGAGAATTGTCAAATTCAAAAGGCGGGAATCATACTTGTCATTTGATTCCACCCGGATTTCTGTTCCAAGACAAGTAAGACGGATCCCCAAGAGGTCTGCACGTAGAGCAATCATAAGCAATGTCAGCTCACAAATACCATGTACTAAATAAGACTATGTTTGGATACAACTTAAATAGAATTTTTAAGAGCTTCTTTATTGAAAATGACTAGTTTTTTCCCATTGAGAAACTCTAAACAAAACTCTTATAAACTTTTATATAAACAGGCTCTAAGTAAATAAAGAATATAATCCAAAATATTTATCAGCTTCTCTCTACTATATCTACCCCATATCTTAATGTTGTTGAGAGGATATTGTAGACCAAATGCTAAATTTTAAGATGGAAAACATGGTGAGGAAAACAAGGGATATCAACTTTTTTGGGGAATTGGAGATGGAGGTAATTAATATGCACCAAATTAAGTTTAAAATTCAGAAGTTTGTGTGGTATAATTGGAAACTGCCAGTGCAAAACCATGATCTTTGCCGACTTTTTCTTTGCCCATAATTAAAAGTAATGGTAGATCCATATAACTAACTATAAAGGGTGAGGGCATATTAATGTTTCCTTCACCTTGGCTTGATGACATACAGAAGTATGAAAGTTATAGCACAGAACAAGGATAGGCCTCCAACGATAAGGTATGCCGTCCCTACGAAGGGATTTTTTCCTCCAATCAAAGTTGTGGTTGAAAAAACCAGCCTCTTTCTGCCTCCAAACAAGTATGTGTTATAATTATTTTCTATTACTATTTCTATCTCATCATTCATTTCAAGGTCAGTCTCTATCTTCCCATACAGTTTTCTGAATGTGGGTAGTGCTGCCGATCGCATCCAAACGATAAGATCCTCTTGCTGACTCAACTGGTGCATGCCATAACACACGTTATTTCTTCTTTTTATATAGTATAGTAATGTATTTTCTCACACACAAAAAAAATATATGCAAAAGAAGGTAATAAAATGAAGTATATAAATTACGGGTATACTCTCATTGAGTTTTGCACCGCCAATCAAATCTCTGCTCTGAAAATTTTTGGGATAAACATTAGAGCCAAATTTGGACCTTTGGTCACTCCCCCATGCAATGTTCTTTTTGTTGACTGTCAAGTCTTTGTTGCTGGTTAAAAATCTGTATGTGTCATTGAAGAGACTCCATGCAATGAGGCCACAGGGAACAATTGGCTGATTAGTATCTGTGGTCTTGTCTTCGGGAAAACAATTGCCTAAATCTCCTTCAGCTGCCTTATTCCGCAGTTGCATGTCGTTTCTACTCTTAACATATCTGCAAGAATCAGCCAATGTTGTGTCAGCATTAATCAGCATAAAATGGGGGCAATAAGAAGTGGTTGCACAGGGAATTACTTTGTAAAATTCAATATTACTTATTTTCGTTATGTTCAACTATTCACTTTATCTTTTAATATATATTTAATGTAATTTATTACCTGTTTTAATAGGATTATAGTTGTATTATTTTATACGTGGCATATAACCTAGTTGTTAAGAAATCTCCTATAATCTCACTCTTTCTTGTATAACTCCTGTAATCCATCACATTCTTGTAAAAGCATATATCTTGTTGTCTATTTAAGAAAGAGAGGCCGCAGAAGGCAAATCAATTATTCAAAACAAAAACTCTTGTCATACTATAAAATATTTTTTGGTCTCTTGATATTTTGACATGGTATCAGAGCCACAACTCTAAACCGTGGTCAATTCTTGTGTTCTGGTCCATAGAAAACGTTATTCTTGTCTTGTGATCTCGTGGGTGTCTTCGTGACTTATCTTCCTGGGTGATCTGGAGCAAGCAAAGTGATTTGCAATCAGGTTTTGTTTCAAAGTTTGTGCCTTCTATTTGTGCATTTTCCTAGGTTTATGATTTTGTTGTTGTGTTCAATTGTTGATCCTTATTACTTCATTATGTCTTATGATAAGTCCGATTCCTTTCTTGTTCATTTTAATGGAAAAAATTATTTTGCTTGGGAGTTTCAATTCAAATTATTTGTCAAAGGGAAAGATTTATGGGGTCATATTGATGGAAAAACACCAGCAGCTACAAGTCCAAAGAATTTGGCAAAATGGGAAATTAAAGATGCCCAAATCATGACCTGGATACTTAGCTCAGTTGAGCCTCACTTTATTCTTAATCTGAGGCCTTATAAAACTGCTAAGGAAATGTGAGATTATTTGAAAAAGGTTTATAATCAAGAAAACATAGCTAGGAGGTTTCAATTGGAGTATGAGATGGCTAATTTCACACAAGGGAATCTTTCAATTGAGGAATATTTTTCTGGTTTTCAAAATCTTTGGGCTGAATATTCAAACATTATTTATGTTGGTATCTCTGACGAAGCCCTCTCTGCTGTCCAAAAAGTGCACGAAACTAGCAAGAGAGACCAATTCTTAATGAAGTTGCACTCTGACTTTGAAGTCACTCGTTCTAATCTGCTGAATCGTGACCCAGTACTAGCTTTGGATGCTTGCTTCAGTGAAATTCTTCGAGAGGAACAACGCATGGCAACTTAAGCAACCATGGAACACAAAACCAATTCTAGTGCTCCTGCTAATGTGGCCTATGCAGCATAAGGAAGAAATAAGAGCAGAGATATGCGTTATGTCCAATGCTACAATTGTAAAGGATTTGGTCATATTGCGAAGGATTGCCCACAAAAATTTTGTAACTACTGCAAGCAGCAAGGGCATATCATCACAACCTATCCGATTCCACCTAAAAGAAAGCAAGGAGTTGTTTATCATGCCTCTATTGGTACCTCTAGTTCTACTACATTGCCTGTTTCAACTTCTGTTCCTACACGTCCTGCAAACACACTTACTCTTGAAATGGTACAATAGATGATTCTTTCTGCATTTTCTGCCTTTGGACTCTTAGGTAATCCTAATTTTTCTTCTAAACCTTGGTACCTCTGTTTCTCTTTCCAATGTGCAAAAGTATGATGGAAATCAGAAAATTCACACAGCTGATGGCAACTCTTTGCCTATCAGTGCTATTGGTGATAATTTCCCCCTCCTTGATTGATGTTTTTGTGTCTCATAGTCTTTCAACAAATCTTATTTCTGTTGGTCAATTGGTTGATCATGATTATAATGTTCAATTTTCTCGTTCTGGTTGTGCTGTGCAGGATCTAGTGTCCGGGAAGATAATCCTTAAGGGACCTAAAGTGGGACGACTCTTTCCACTACACTTATCTTCTTCCAAAATTTGTCCTACCTTTCCTTTACTTTCTTTAGTCTGTATTGATGATAGACAAATAAATAAAATGTGGCATAATCGTTTAGGGTACCCAAATTCTCATGTACTTAGTACCTTGTTGAAATCTGGTTCATTGGGCAATAAAGATTTTTCTGTTCTTTTTGATTGTACTACATGCAAACTTGGCAAAAGTAAAGTTTTACCCTTCCCAAATAATGCATCTCGTGCAACCCATTGTTTTGACATTATTCATAGCGATATTTGGGGGATTTCACTTGTTGCTTCTCATGCATGTTATAAGTATTTTGTCACTTTTATAGATGACTATAGTTGATTTACTTGGGTATACTTTCTTCGGTCTAAGGTAGAAGTTTTCTCTGGTTTTCAACGTTTTGTCTCACTTCTTGAAACTCAATTCTCTACCCACATAAAAATCTTAAGATTTGATTCTTGGGAAGAATATATGTCTCATGAATTTCAAAGTTTTCTTCAAAATCAAGGAATCATATCTCAGTGTTCTTGTCCATCCACACTGCAACAAAATGGTGTTGCCGAAAGAAAGAATCATCATCTTCTTGATGTAGTAAGAATACTTTTTCTTGAATCATCTGTTCCTCCTCGCTTTTGGTGTGAAGCACTTTCTACTGCTGTTTATTTAATAAATTGGTTACCTTCTCCAACATTACAAAATGTTTCTCCTTTTTTTAAGTTGTTTGGGCATTTTCCTTCATACTCTGATCTTCGTATTTTTTCTTGTGTTTGTTTTGTACATCTTCCTGCTCATGACGTAACAAATTTACTGCCCAATCTGTTAAGTGTGCTTTTTTAGGATATGATATTACTCAAAAAAGGTATGCTTGTTATGATCCACAGTCCCATCATATTAGAATTTCTAGGAATGTGGTTTTCTTTGAAAATCAATATTTTTTTTCTTCGTTTATTGAACCACCATCTTCCTTTTTATCTCTTATGTCACACTTTGCAGATTCTTCAACAATTGTGGAACAGTTCAAGCCTAGTTTTGTGTATGAAAGACGTCGTCAAGTTGATCCCAGTTCTCTTATGATTCTGCCCTGACACTAGATCTTGTCACTCTTGTCATACCTCTTCATCATCGATCCACTCGACCGTCTAAACCCCCTGACTAATATGGTTTTTATACACATGTATCTCTATCAACTACCTTGTCTTCTATTTGCATTCCATCTTGTTACACACAAGCTATGAAACATGAATGTTGGAAATAAGCAATGCAAGAAGAACTGCAAGCACTTCAAGAAAATTACACTTGGGACATTGTTCCTTGTCCTCCCATTGTCAAACCTATTGGAAGTAAATGGGTTTTCTGTATAAAGCTTCATTCTGATAGCTCTTTGGATCGCTACAAAGCTCGATTAGTCGCCCTTGGTAATAAATAGGAATATGGGGTTGATTATGAGGAGACATTTGCTCCTGTTGCCAAGATGACTACAGTTTGGACCATCCTAGCCATTGTTGCTTCTAAATCTTGGCCACTACATCAAATGGATGTGAAGAATGTTTTTCTTCACGGTGATCTAAAAGAAGAAATCTACATGAAGCTTCCCTTTGGTATGACTGCCTCCTCTCCTAATGATGTTTGTAAACTACGTCGTTCTTTGTATGGGCTTAAACAAGCTCATCGGGCTTGATTTGAGAAGTTTCTTACTACGCTTCTTAATTTCTCCTTCACACAAAGTCAATATGATTATTCTTTTTTCTTCCACAAGTCTCCCACGGGTATAGTTCTCATCTTGGTTTATGTGGATGATCTAATCATTACGGGAACTGATAATGGGTTGATTACTAAGCTTCAAGCAGTGTTACATGCAACATTTTGCATGAAAGATCTTGGCCAACTAACATATCTTTTGGGATTGGAGGTACATCATCGATCCAATGGCATATATTTAAACCAACATAAGGACATCCAAGATTTGATCACTTTGGTTGGTTTAGAAGGAACTACTTCAATTAATACTCCTATGGAAGTAAATGTCAAATACAGGAAAGATGAAGGGGATCTTTTGGCTGATCCAACTATCTATCGGCGTTCGGTAGGAAGTTTTATCTACCTAACGACAACTCAACCTGACATTTCGTATGTTGTTCACCAAGTCAACCAGTTTATGTCTTCTCCTCGACATCTTCATTTTGTTGTTGTTCGTCGCATTATCTGCTATCTTATAGGGTCCCTTACACGTGGGTTATTCTTTCCTAGAGGCTCACCCTTACAGCTTCTGGCATATAGTGATGCTGCAAGGTGTCTGTATACTCGTCGGTCTACTACAGGTTGGTGTATGTTTCTCGGCGGTGTCTTCATTTCTTGGAAATGTAAGAAGCAAGATCGTGTTTCTAAATCTTCTACTGAGGTTGAATATCGTTCAATGTCTTCTTCTTGTTCTAAAATTGTGTGGTTACGCAGTCTTTTAGAGGAGCTTGAATTTTCACGGCCTGACTCTACCCCTCTTCATGCTAATAATACAAGTACTATTTAAATTGTTGCAAATACCTTGTTCCACGAACGTACCAAACATATCGAGGTTGATTGTGACTAAATCAGGGAAGCCTTGACCAGTAAAGTCATCTATCTCCCTTACATCTCCATAGATCTACAAGTGACTGATATCTTTACCAAAGTTATGACTAGACAACGCTATTAGTTTCTTGTTGGTAAATTGTTGCTGGTTGACTTACCGAAATCAATTTGAGGGGGATGTTAATATATATTTAATGTAATTTATTACATGTTTTAATAGGATTATAGTTGTATTATTTTATATGTGGCATATATCCTAACTGTTAGGAAATTTCTTATAATCTCTCCCTTTCTTGTATAACTCCTGTAATCTCTCACATTCTTGTAAAAGCATATATCTTGCTGTCTATTTAAGAAAGAGAAGCCGGAGAAAGCAAATCAATTATTCAAAACAAAAGCTCTTGTCATATTGTAAAATATTTTCTGGTCTCTTGATATTTTGGCAATCTCAATGGTTGCTTTTATTTTAAGTTTTACTTGCAATACAAGAAAACTGTCAATTTTATATTCTTTCTCGTGATTTTAGTTAAGTTCAACTCTTGTTGTTAACACTGAAAGTGACATGACTATACATTGCTAATACTGCTGCAAAAACTTTCTAGTGTCAAATTACTACATAATTTTCTGTTAGATGTTAGACTGCAAGTGAATAAGGACATCAAATTTGAAAGTTCATAGTAAGTCCTATCCCTATGAATTCATGCTTCTTAATCTTCAAAATTTTAACTTGTGAAAGCTTGCAATGATGATGGAAATGAGATAACGAATTAAATAAAGGAAAGCCAGCACAGCGAATTGATGAGTGTACTTACATACGAGTTTCTAGCAGTTTCAAGTTGGCAGAAATAAGGAAGATTTTCTGCAAAGTGTACATACCTGCGATGGTTCTGGTAGTAGTTGTCAAGCTGATAATAGATATAAATAGGAGCTTCCATTTCATGCTCAACCTGTGAAGTTTGCAACAAAATTGTTTGGTTTCAATCAGGTATACAACAAGGAAATGCAAATGGAAAAAACAAGACTCTTGTTCAAAACAAAAATCAACACGTCTTATTTCAGAGGAGTTGTACTAACAGTCCATTTGATGGTGCAGGTCTTGTTGGTGTCATCGCTTTGAATATATGAATTTGCATTGTGAGCATATGAGGGAGGAAGGCATCTATCATCATATCGGAATATAGCTTCCTCCACCTGAAATGCATCAGTATTTCTTTATTTATTGATGAAACGTTCAGCTTCAGCACAAAATCTCATTTGACACTGTGTAAGTATGTATACGAGATGTTACACTCTCTGATGCAAACAATGTTAGAAGACCAATAGGGATGTAGAGGATTCCGACGACAGAAAATGTGGCAATGACCTGCGAAAACAAAGGGAAAATAATCACTGGTCAACTGTTAGAACGTTGCAAAACCAAATGAGGTATGTGTGCTGAACGCTATACCCATCCAGGTGTTAGAATTGGTTTCCATGCAGGAAGGTCTTGCTGTGAAAATTGTGTATCTACAATTAAAAAAATAAATGAGCAATAATTCAAACACAAGTTTGTGCATGAAATGACCTCAAGTCCTTCAGATTTTAGTGCAAATGTAGCATTTGAGCAATTGGCCTTACAAATAGTTAAACAAAGCACCGAAAAAAGTTGGATGCTTATTGATTATTGAAAGAAACAGATGGTTATTTATTTATCTATTGGAATGAACAATTGTTTTCAAGTTGCCACATGAGATTTACGTAACTTTGTTAAGACATAGAAAGAGGGCATGTTAATGAGAAGAAATTAAAGGAAAGAGGAGATTTATGTAACAAAGTGAAGAACAGACATATAGGTTTCTTGGAGGCTTTCTTGGAAGAGGGAGCAGATTCTTCGTCTTTGATATCCATGGTTAATAAAAGACGAATAAAGGTGATCGAAGATAAGTGAGAGAGATAGAGAGAGAGAAAGTGTAATGCAATGGAGTTATGGTTAAGGTTTGAAGACAAAGCAGTTTACAACGTCCGTGAACCGCAGAATGACAATGTTGAATTGGACCATTTCACCAGCGGAACTACCGCTCGCCCCCCTAATATCTCCTATTTTTTTATTTATATCTTTTTTTTTTTTTGAAGTATAGTATCAATACTCAAGAGATTCGATATATACAATATAGATTTTTTTTTTCTAACATAACTTATTAACTTTTGCAAAAAAACTGTAAATACACACAAAATAACAACTTAGTTAAGAGACAATAGATTTTATCATTTATATCCATCAATATTATAATACTTTCAAAATTCATAACACTTCTTTTTTTACTTACAAAAATTGCTTTTTCATATATATTCACATATATAAATAACTTCTTTCTATTGAGGCACTTCGTGCCACTATTAAAAATAAAATAAAATAATAAAAGTATATTGATCTAATTGATGTTATGATTAATCTATTAATTTTAAGTTTTTAAATTTTTTAAAAATATATTATTTTAATTTTTTAAAATAAAAAAGTATAATGGTAAAACAAATGTGGAGATCAACTGAAAAAGATATCTCAAGATATCTCTTTTATATATTAGTACGGGTCAAGACATTTCGTGCTTCTAATAATTACACATAGATAAATATTAAAAATTATAGATAATTATTTAGAAAAAATATAAGATTTTTTTTTACATTTTAAGGAGTATAATAGTACAACCCCAAGCGTGTGGTTCAGCGGTAGGGGTTGACACACGCTTAAGCAAGGTCAAGGGTTCGAATCATGCCTTGTGTATGTTGTCGCGTTAAATCTTAGGGTCAGTTATCTCACCCTTTGAGGTACCTCCAACGTAGTGAGGATATTAGTCACTGTTATCGACCCTAGATACTCCAGGAACGAACAAAAAAAAAGAGTATAATAGTCCACTAAAAAGTGGAGACCAAGAGGATGATTATCAAAATATATCCACTTTATATTAGGTATAGATAAATATATATGTATATATATATATATATATATATATATATTGAAATTCAAAAAAGAAGATGCCTATGTATAGGCTTACAATCAATTTAAAATTCTTAACAAATCTCATCTACTAACAACTCTACTTGATGAGATTATATTGAATAACTGAAAATAAAATATAATAAATAAAACTGTAACAATAACAAATATCTTATCTAAAATTTATTCAAAATTCAAAATTTAAATAAAGGAAAATCTCATAAATCTAACA